AATTTTAGAAATATGAAAAATCAAACACAATTTGATGACATTCAAGTATTGCAAAATACCACTTATAATATATTAAATTAAAGCTCAAAGCATACTGAAAATGGCCACATTAACGTTTCATTAATATTCTTAATACAAGAGCAAGGATTGTGGATCGTAACGGACAAAGCAAGTAGCCCAATTTCGAAAATCGTGGAAAGTCTAAGACGATTTCATGACAAAAGTGCCACAAAATGGCACTTGTAATATATCAGATTAAAGCTAAAAGACTAATAAAAGTCGCTATATAAACGCCCCATTGATATTCCTAACATAAGATTCCTGATCATGGATTGCAACGAACAATGGTATACTATATCAACTAAAAAGTCTAAGATGATTTTATGACATAAAAGTATCAGAAAATGGCACTTATAATACATCAATTTGAAGCTTGATTCCTGAAATTCTATTATGTTATAAGACCGGACGTATTTCTAAGAGTATTTAGAAAAAATAGCAGAGGGTAGTCGTGATAGGGAGCACCTCTGAGCGGATATACTCGTAGTATGATCACGAAGGTGTCGGTCGAGTATAGGTGTCGGCAGGCGAGCAGGAATGACACGTAGCCTGTGGCTTTCTCATTCCTTCTCATTCCGTTCCTTTGGCCGAGGCCGCCGACGAGGGATTAGCCTAATGGGTCCTGCCCACCCCTCTCATTCCTCGCCGCGTGTGTTATATGTATATCCATATTCTGATCCTTTACACCACCTTCGACCTCCTACATAATCGCTGCCTGGCCAGACCCGATGAACAACGCCGCTAAGTGATTCACAATCGAGCTTATTGATTGTATCGACGATCGACGTGCATGCTGAGAATCATCGACATTGATTTAACCCTTCAACTCCTTTTTGTTTCTTCACCTCGTATAATAGTATACTGTTTGTAAAAATCATTTTATTTGTTTACGTGGTCATTGGTAGCTTAACAGGATTTTTCTAATTTAAAAGTAGCATTCTTCGATCCAAAGTGATTAATTTTTCAATAAATGAAAAATTTGAAATGTCAGCTATGATAATCCTTCTCGATCAAGGCGCAACGAAACACCAGAATTAAAAGAGAAAATAGCAAATAAAGAAGAGAGTGTGTCAGAAGTTGAAAAGAAACGATGTCAAAGAAGAAGAGCAGCCTGTCCAGGCTGATATCAAGCCGTGCATCTAATATGTTACGCTGCAAGCTGCCGCAGACCTTGTCACGCGAGCATATAATCCCTTTGGGATTGAGAATATACTGGGTGAACCATGTAATGGTTCGCATCCGATTGTAATCTATGAACGGTACCTCACGAGGACCATCGAGTAATGGGGAAGATGCAAAATTCAGATTTTATTAAAACGGAAGAAAGCGAATAGAGTAACGTATACAATTATCAATCTCTATATAATAATTGACCCTATTCGTAAAAAAAGTAGAAAATGTGTTGTGCTAAAGTTAAATGGAAATTTTTAAACAAAAGGAAGTAATATGTAATACAAAATTTAATTAAAATTGTGGCTCTCTCCATGGTCCGCCGTCCAAAGATTAAGAAACGCATGATTATGTTTCTTACTTTTTTTAGGAAAAGGATCAATCATTATATAGGGGTCAATGACTGCACAGTTACCATATTTATGTTTCTAAAAAACATGAGATTAATGATAAAATAATTTTTTTAAAAATGCTGGAGTAATTACAATGGTAATTTTCTAAGAGAAGTATGTTATAAAAATCGAATGGCAGCTGTATTACAATTCAAAGAATTCCCTCAATATCGATAAATTATCCTTTGAAGAGACATTAAAAATATTCGTTTACTTCTCGAAGATGGAAATGGTTCAGCATAATCCTCACAGATCGAAGCTTAAAATTCTCCCGTGCGATTTTCAGCGTGGAGAGACCACCAAGCTCGCGGTTAATGATCCTTGGGCGGTGACTCCTTTACAATTCCGAAGAGTACCTACGTGCCCTGATTTGTACTTAAGAAGTGCATTATAGTGGTCGGTCAACTGGCCAACACCGGCAGAAATTCTCCTTCCTGTTGACAGTCTTGTCCCAGCTTGTCCTCCGCTTTCTTTCCTCCGCAACGACGCTGACAGCAAGATAAATTACGACGACCTTATGTCGTTCACGCTTCCTGGATCATTTTTGGGAGCTACGCGTTAACTTCCTTCGATTCGTTTCAGTTTATGGGAAAAATAACTGCTACCAATATTTATTTATCACTATTGAAAATATTGACCGTTTGAAATTTAATAGAAAGAAAATTGACTACTTTAGATTTAAATTTCTCTTATACCATTAATGACCCAGCTTATCTAAGAAGAATTACCTATAACATTATTTAAATTATTTGTTGAAAATTTCTATTATTTAAAATTTAATGAAAAAAAAAGATTTATTATCTTAGACTTTGAAAAAATTGAAGAAGTTTTCAAAAAAAGAATTAAATTTCTCTTCTACCACCGATGATCCAGATTATCTGCAAAGAATAAAATAAAAATGAAAGCAACGACTGGGAAAATCATGATGGAGGATTTGAACATGGATCCCTTGAAAATAGGGTAGGAGGGAATATATCGCGTGTACACAAACAACTAGTTCCTGTATGCATCCGCTGTGTCACAGGGAGAATCCGTCGCTTTCCTGCGCCTCCCTTTTTGCTTTCCGCGTGTCGAATCGCGGTCTGAATGGTGGAAAAGGTGCCGCACCTTCGTAGGTTATAAATCTAGCCAGGCCCTCCCTGTCCCACCTTTCTCTTCTCCAGCGGTCCTAGGGGGTCTTAGAGCGTGTGTGAGGTCCCCTAAATGGTAACAAATGTCTTGAAAATGCCAACAATGAGCCGCGAAGCGGTTGACATCCGAGAGCGCGTTTTATTTTCCTGTCAACGCTCCCTCCAGAAGAGGAAATGCGGTTCTAGCTATCTGGTACACGTACGCATTATAACTACCACATTGCAACCACTCAAAATTTCTGCAATTTCGCTGCTTTTATTATTTATTATTCCAAGCAGTTAATTACGGGTATTTCCAACTGGGTAGCTCAGAGAATTTCTCAAGGGTCCCATAAGAACTCAAGTGCCACTCGCTTATGAATGATGCGATAAATAGCCAGTCGTGACCCAAATTTACAAAACGCATACAAAAGCATTAATCGAATTTTTAAAAAAGCAGTGTGAAATTTAGAAAACAAAAATCGTATGAAATACAATATTAAATTAAAATTGGAGTTCTCTCCATGGTCCGCCGTCTGAGAGTTAAATTAGTAGAGTATCTTTTTATTGAAATTATGGTTAGTCTACCAAGGTGTAGTAATACCATACCTTGCTCCACTAATGTAAATTAAGCTCCAAATTAATACTTACTTAACCGTTTGAGTCCCAAGGGTCATTAAAAAAACACTATCAAAAAATGCCGAACAGCGCGATAGCGTTTGTCTTACTTTATGTTTGTTAGTGCCAAGTAACGGGATCACGCTTGTATTCACGTCGACAAACTTAATGCAGTTGGTACAGTGATCGGACGTATTATTGTATAAATGCAAAAAAAAAATAGAGAATTAAAAAAATAAAAATATATTATATTATGTTACATATTATATTTTTTAATTAAAAATATTTTTAATTTGTAACTTGCCATATATGTGTACTATTAGTTTATATTATTTTTGAATTTTTTCAATAAAAATTATTGAAAATGTGGCTGTGTTTCCGAATGGCCCCACAAAAATTGAGAACTCAGGTTCGGTATATAACCTAAACTGATTACAAGAAACCGATTAAAGTTGGTTTCAGGGCTGAATGTCTTACCGTTTTCTAGATATCGTGGTAAGGTTAGGTTAGGTTAGGTTGGGTTCCGTGTATGCGCAGTATCGAATAGCATATGTTCAATAACGAATAGCGTATGCTCGTCTCATCAAATAGCGCATACGTAGTCTCAAAATTGTACAAAAATTTCTTACCACGATATCTCAAAAACGGTAAGGCATCCAGCTCTGAAACCAATTTTAATCGGTTTCTGGTAGTCAATTTAGGTTATATACCGAACCTGAGTTCTCAATTTTGGTGGGTCCATTCGGAAACTTATCCAAAAATATAACAATGAAATACAAAATGTATTACTTGTATTATTTACATTAAAAATAACTACGATGCAATGTATTAGTACATGCGTCAGAAAAGTTGAGCACGTCATTTCGACAAACTGCGAGTGCACCGTCAGTTGTCCATAGCGTTTAGATGTATGTACCGGGTCTTTTCGACACAAAATCTAAACACCGCGATCGCGCTGCTTGGGACTGAAACGGTTAAACCAAACAACCAGTGAATAAGAATGAACGATTTACATGATATAATCGGAAGCTGATGTACGACGTTCGTTGACACAGGACAAATGCCCCGGCCGGTGAATTACCCGCTTCACACGAGGCTTCACTCTGGCTGTCGGCCAGGGTTTGCTCGTTGATAGGCACAATCAATATCGGCCTCTCGGAGATGAAAAGAGAGGCGATCGACTGAATAGAACGCGTGAAAAGATGCGTGTAATCAATTAGAGAAGGACCGCGGAGTCGAGAGCAAATATCTCTTTCGAAGCAACGTCATCCTGAAATGTGCTGGTCAGCATCCCCGCTGAGCAAAGTCCTGTACGTTTACATATGAACGAGGCTCTAGCATTGAAGTTACGTGGTTAAGGTACCCATGGGGATATCTTGGACCGAACACTAAGTGCTTGTCACGTGCACGTGGTATATACTCCTAAGAATTGCTTCTTTGGTGATTTGAAATTTTATTTTCTAACCGAGGCCACTTCTTTGGATCCAAAATTGCTCTTTCACTTCCTCAATTTTTTTTTTCGAGTGCAAAAAGTCCTTTGTAATAATTTTGAAATAATTTCTATATAAAAAATAATGTTTTCTAATAATAAATTACTTTTCTCCCTCGCAATTTTTTATTTTTTTAAATTTGAGAATATTTTTTCTACTATCTTTGTATCCTGTGATAAATTTTGAAATAATTTTTAACGAGAAGTTGCCTATCCACCACATAAATAATTTGATTCAATGGATAATAAAGTATTACGACAAAGAGCAAAGAGCTCCAATAATACTTTATACGATTCCTTGAAAAGGATCGACACGCTAACAGGCCAGTAACACGGCTCGAAACAATGGCGTGAACGAGAAGGTAATCTATAAAGCATTTCATCGAGTGCCCGCCTTCTTCAGCCTCTCATTATATCTTCAACATATGGGGGGAGCAGTTAAACGATCACACCCGATTTCTAGCCCTGCTCTTTACAAGCAGTTGCCCTTCCTTCTTTCTACTCGCCCACGTGCATCTGAAACAGAACGTGGATGATTGGTTAAATAAGGATAGAAGATATCTCCTTTTCATTCTGAGACCTGAGAGGATAGAAATTTCAACAATTATCCAGTTAACCCTTTCGCTATTGTCATCCGTGCTGGAAAGTGTTTTAAATTGAATTATTTTTTAAAGAATATTTATAAAAAATTGTATTACCTTCAGGTGTATTTGCACTCCTGGATACAAGGACGAGGTCAAAGCCCGTAATGTAGCATGTAAAATTTTGTAATGCGAGCGATTTTGACAAAAAAAAAAAAAAAATGGTCCTTGAAAGAGAAGTCGGGCCTACCGTTCGGTAGGTTTAACGAGTAAAATTTCCCGCGGTAGACACGAACGACAGTGAATCCTCGACGATCCCTTTGGCGGCACCTTTGCCGACCCGTCCGCGTTTCTCCTATGACAAACGGAAGAATGGAAGAATGCTTCGGAGACAAGTTGCATTTACAATAAAGCCGACGGACAGTCGGTTTAAATTCCTGTCACCTCGTGGCGGACACCGCGGACCCATTCGGACAGACCGAAAAATGTTCGTCGATATTTCACGAACGTCCTCTGTTCCAGCTACTATAATCATTCGAAAAACAAATCGTGGGTTATTCATCCTTGGATAATAATTGACGCTTTTCCCGAAAAAGTAGAAAATATACCGTGTCCTTACATAATAAACTATGATACTATTCGACACTAACAAAAAGTATTCGAGCTACGATAGAATTAATTTTCTCTCCATGGTTCGCTGTCTTGGTGCTCTCTCCATGGACCGTCATCCGAGGGTTGAAAAATACATTGTATTATATTTCTTATTTTTTAAAGAAAAGGGTCAGTTATCATAGAGGGATTGACAAGCCCAGTAAATAAATTTTACTAAAATTAAAATAAAATTTCAAATCTATAAGTAGAAATTAAGGATATAATAAAGGATACTTAATTATTCGATAAAATATTGTTAAGTATCAATGAACAGATTTCCCTTACTTTTTTAAGCAAAAATATGTTGCAATGCCGAGGTTGAAATTCCTCCAGCTATTTTGCAAGAGAAACGATCAAATTTTGACAAATGTGACGGGAACCGGCCGAAAGTGGAGACGCTTCAAAAGGACCGCCGCTGAGAATTCGACAGCGAAATTGCACACTCCTGTCGTTTACCGGCTTTCTTGGGACAAAGTGAAAACCACAGGAAAAGAGGGTGTTGTTCATTGCAGAGAAACGATTTCAAACAGGTTTTACTGTCCACCGGCAAAACATCACCCGCTGTCGTTTTCCTTCACGAAAAAGGCTTCTTTTCTCTCGATGACAATGTCGGTGCTTTTATAGTTGCGAATGTTTTCCCTGAGAAGATTTAGTAGGATCAAGTGGATAAAAGAGAATCTAGAATGAAGCGGAGATGAAAAATTGGCAATACTTTAATTCACTTCACTGTAGTTATTCAAATTGCATTCAATTCTCAAATTTTTAATTCTTAATTAATATCTTAGGAAATTAATATAACATTAATGGGCTGTGTTTCTGAATGGCCTCACCAAAATTGAGAACTCAGGTTCGATATATAACATAAATCAACTACAAGAAACCAATTAAAGTTTGTTTCAGAGCTGGATGTCTTACCGTTTTCGAGATATCGTGGTAAGGTTAGGTTAGGTTGTGTGTATGTGCAGTATCGAATAGCATATGTTCAGTATCGAATAGCGCATGCGCAGTATTGAATAGCGCATGCGCAGTATCGAATAGCGCATACGTAGTCCCAAAATTGTACAAAAATTTCTTACCACGATATCTCAAAAACGGTATGACATCCAGCTCTGAAACCAATTTTAATTGGTTTCTGGTAGTCAATTTGAGTTATATACCGAACCTGAGTTCTCAATTTTTGTAGGGCCATACGGAATCTATACAAAATTGTACAAAATTGTACCACGATATCTCAAAAACGGTAAGACATCCAGCTCTGAAACCAATTTTAATCGGTTTCTGGTAGTCAATTTAGGCCCTGTGTTCTCAATTTTGGTGGGGCCATTCGGAAACTTATCCATATTAATGTAACTTCCAGCTATTGAATTTTCCAATTTAAAATTTCCACTTGGTACCTCACCAAAAAATAAACAAAGGATTACGATACCTTCCATTTCAATCTAATTTCTCTTACCGCTACTAAACAATCTTTCAAAGAGCCCCCCGTGTTGAATACTCACGTCAATTCGAACAATCGTACAACTAAAGTAGACTCAGCTTTTGCGCCATTTAATTCCGCATCACGAAACAGATCCGCAGGTATACAAACAGTCTAAGGTAAACGTCGAATAATAGTTTGCTGTCATAACAAACATCTTGAGCATCGAAAAGTGCACGCGAGACGCGTCAAGGATCGGCATCAAATCGAGCGTGATACTTCGATCCCACTTTCGTTTCATCGAATGTTGAGCATCGGGATAAAAGCGCATCTAGAAAATACGCCGGTTACAATAGACTTCGTTTGGATGCTCGATTGAACGATAATGGGACAAAAATGGGACAATAGAGGAGAATCGACTTAGCAAGAAAACGTCTGCTTCGAGTGATCGCAGTGGTCATCCTTTTGGCTTATTTTCCGAATTGTATTATTCTTGTCTTTTCTCTGTTATTGAGGGAAAATGGACGAGCACGAGCTGTCGATATTCTTGACCGAACACGAAGAGAGAATAATTGTTCTCGAAGAGGATATGAAAAATCCTTGCAAGGGGGATTGGAAAGACACTGGTGAATGGTCTCTTACAAATCTGTTTTGTATTACAAGAAAAAGTTTCTTAGAAAATTTCCAAAAGAATTCTTAAATGATCACTGCAATTATTAATGTTTGGTAAGAAGAAAATATCAGAAAATGAATACCTCTATTCTACGTTATTAGTATTCATGAATAGCGCCATCGTAAAGTGTTCCAATCAATTAAGTACCTCAATAAAATAACAATAGTTTAGAGAGACGTTAATCAAATTAGCCGTGCATTCATTCCATTGTCAGGAAATGAGATTAATTAACCGGCAAACTGCATCGTGACTCAAAAGAAGCCGACGAACCGCAAAGTAAACACATTAACTGACTGATTTTATGATCTACAGGTCGTTGTGGCGACGAGTCTGACACGGAAAGCGAACCAGGCATTCCTTTGAAGCGAAAGCAACGCAGGAGCAGGACTACATTCACTGGAGAACAACTGGAACAACTGGAGACTGCGTTCCAGAGAGCTCAGTACCCTGATGTCTATGCTAGAGAAGAATTAGCTCAGAGGACGGGTCTTACGGAGGCTAGAATTCAAGTGAGTTCTAGGGAGAGACTAGGGAAATTATAAGGTTCTAAGATTCTCAAGTTCAAAAATTCAGAATTTCAGAATTCCAAGTTACTAAAACTCCATAATTTCAAAATATTAAAACTGTAGAATTCCAAGATGCTAGAACTCCAGAATTCCAAGATACTAGAACTTTACAATTTCAAAATAATAGAACTCCAGAATTCCAAGCTGTTACAACTCCAGAATTTCAGAATGCCAGGATACTAGAACTCCAAGACTCCAAAATCCCAAGATACTAGAACTCAAACATTCCAGAATTCCAAGATACTAGAATTCCACAATTTCAAAATACTAGAACTCTAGAATTCCAAGCTGCTGGAATGCCAGAATTTCAGAATTTTAGCCTATTAGAACTCAAAAATTCCAGAATTCCAAGATGCTAGAACTCCAGGACTCCAAAATCCCAAGATACTAGAAGTCAAACGTTCTAAAATTCCAAGATTCCAAAATTTCTAAGTTCCAAAAATTCTGAATTCTATTAGTAAAGCTAAGAAACCTGGCCCACCCCAGAAAAAATCCTCACCCTTGTAAAAATATAAGTATATAATTCCCTTTAGTAAAATAATGGTACCTCTCCGTGTCTCTTGGAATCACCGCATTCCCCTAATTAAGGTAATCTAATTAAACCTTTTCTATCCGCCGGTTCCAGGTATGGTTTAGTAATCGCAGGGCACGGTTGCGAAAGCACGCAGGTAGCATAGCGCATTCGGTAGCCAGTCTGCCGTTAACCCCATGCCAGTATGCAAGCAGCCACGAATTGGGTCAAATACCGCAGGTACCTCAGATGCCACCTGGAATTCCACAGGTACCAACCACCTTGCATCACACTCCGCCAACGACGCTGCAACAACCAAACGCCGGTGTTCATCCGATCCCTGGTACCAGTACGCAAATCCCGACGACCACCTCCATAGCTCAAGTACCTGCAACAATTAGTAGTGCTCTTCAGGGACACGCAGTGTCGATTTCGGGTCATTTGACCTCCTTACCAGGACACGCGATGCAGATCGGTCAAGTACCGACCCTCCAACCACCGGCGGCCCATGGTGTACCTACCACGTTGTCTCATAATGCAGGTTGGTTTTTGTCTATTAATTTTTTAAGAAATTTCTGGTCATTCTTCATTTATAAATGAATTTTTAATATGACTTTGGATCTTATAATTAATTCTTCTATGTCCACTTATGAGAAATACTCTCGATAGTCATTTGTAAAATACGTTTCTCTTGCATACATTCCATTCAAGTCAGGTAATCAGAAAGTTGCCTAATTCTTATCGCATATATCCCATTAAACGGTACAGGCGTCAATTAACATGCTACATGATGCATTAATGGATTCGAATTGGACTTCGTAAAAATGTTACGTGCACGGTAACTTAATACACCGTATACTAAATATACTTTTGTGGTTTCGTTTTCAGACTATAAATAATTAAATACCTACTCAAAGGGTTAATTAACATTTCTGTCATTCGCGAGTTGATTACTTTAATTACCAAGAATGGAAATAATTAATTTTCGAATTTAAATTTTTCTATCTGTTTTCTTACTAAATATCTTAATTTTTTGTTTTAATTATTCGAATATAATATCTGTTTGGAAGTGTTAAGTCATCGATGACCCTCACTTCTGAAATTTCAGACTTAGAAAATTCATGGAAATTGAAAAATTAATCACGAGAATTTTGAAAATCTAGGAGGTGCAGATTGGTCCAGAGCACAGATAGGCTGGGGACAGTTCAATCACTTCCAGGGTGAATACACGTCGAGTCATTCGAGTCATCAGCATTCCACGCACGCGAGTCATGGTACACCGTCTTCTGGTACCGGGAATTCTGCATCGGCGGCGGAATGGTACGATCAGGGTTACGATTATTCCCAACACGCTCAGTTGAACTATCATCGAAGCGTGGGTGGAATATTTTAACGCATGATGATTGAAAGGACATTAGTGAAAAGTCGGTTCAATGATGAATCTATGGTCTTGTAAAAATAATAAGATCAAGTCAGACGATCAATAGATAATCCTCTCCATATTTATTAATAATATTTATTGATAATCTAATCAAGAGAAAGTTCATCGATATTAAAAATATTTTGATTTTCATTAAACCACCCGCTCAGTATTTAAAAATTTTAAATAATGACAATATATTGATCGTCTGCATTTATTGAATGAACCCAAATGCTCAATAATTAATTAATTAAAGAAATTATATTTACATTAAAGAATGTCGCTATTGAATTTCCTATATGTTGTAAATAAATTGATGTATATAATATATTTTTAATACTGATGTAAGAAATATTTGTGAAAATAAAATATTTTATTAAACTTTATTAAACATCCTTTGTTTCATTACCTACCCTTCATCCTCTGCCTTTAACAACACAAGAAATAATTAATTTAAGAAATTATTTGACACATCCGTATTAAAAAGGTGAAATCCTATTTGCAATGTTTTGAAAAATTATCATAATTCAAAATTAAGCTACATATAAACAAAATTAAGGACATAACAATATGCTTTTCTAATAATAAAATGACCTAATCTATCACTGTTAGTATACATTCGACGTTGATTATTCAGGTGTTAAATACCTCATATTCTATTCTTAAGAATAGTCAGAATAGTTAAAAAAAAATGAATTTACTACCCTACGGTATATTTACTAACAATATCTCATTCCACTCGTCTATAATTAATATCAGTATTAAAATTTTATAGAAAATTATGCGTATTTATGTCTTCATAAAACATGCAAGTCCATTTTGCTTAGAAACTGAGAGCATTGTATATCATTGTTACGACACGTTTAATCTTCTCAGATCCCATTCAGTTAGATTATGAATCACATATTAGTATACTTTAATACTGCAAGCTCTTTTCAATGTTGTGTAAATGGATTCGTATAATACAATTTATCTAATAACCCGGAAGTAAGTGAGTGTACGAGCTAAATTTGAATAATTGAACGAAGGTAGATGGAACTTCTTACATTTATTGTATCTATAACAAGATTAAATGCATTGATAGCATTTCTAAGCACCTTTCCATAATAGAGCTTTGCCATTATTCAGAAAGAAAAGATTTCGATTAAAATTACAATCTTCAATTATTATTTTAGAATTTTTATTTAGCCAAACATTTTATTTTTAGGTGTTTGGATCTATTATTTTTCATGGTGTAATAAAAATCATTTGATCACAGGAAGGACCTAGATGAAAATGATACCATTAAATTGATGATATGACAAACAGGATCTTTATT